TTTTTTTTTTTTTTTTTTTTTTTTTTTTTTTTTTTTTTTTTTTTTTTTTTTAAGTCTATTTATGATATTAAGCTATTGAAACAATTGAATTATTACCTTTATGTGTGTCATCCTATGATAATATAAGTTACTGCTGGCAGTAAACTTTTTACCGCATACTTGACATTCATGGGGCTTTTCACCTGAGTGAATCCGTCTATAATAATATTATAGATATTATTTACTTAATTTATTTTGTACTTTATAATATGTTTTTACCTGTGAGTATTTAGAGAGCTCGAAGTACTGAAACCTTTTCCACAAACCAAACAAATATGAGGTTTCTCCCCTGCAAAACAAATGTTCATATTCATGTTAAAATCAGTAACTAATTATTAATGATATCATTAATCATACAAAACATATTATCCCGCGTTAATCTTTGTATGAAAGTCAACTATATTTGGAAATCTTGTCTGATAGCCTAACTTTAAGTTTATTAACACTTTCTTTCACATGAAATCGCAAAACACACCCCTGTACTATCACTAACCACGCTCTTAAGTCTTCTTCTTCAAGAGAAAACAAGTTAGAAACCTCTAGTCCCGAACTTTTTGGAAATTAAATATAAAATTTTATCTAATACATCTTTAAAGCTAGACAAATTTAAAACATATTAAGGTATATTTATACAATTTCGGTTTTTGTTAAAATTTACCCTTATATCCACCCCCTCACCTTCACCTTTGTAAAAGACGTATTTCGCTGGTCTTGTCCGATTTGTTTCGAAAAATAGATCAATTTTTCTAACCTGTATAGCGCTGTAAGGACTCAATCTTTAGAACTCAAGAAGATTTTTAAGCAGTTAAAGAAATATTAACCCAGTATAATTTCGAGAGTCCCCCTTCTCATTTGGAGACTTTATCTTCATTCTTCATTGATCCCATATCACCTGTTCCTGAATCTATTGGTTATTCTGTCGAGGCTGCTATTGAAACTCAAGCCCCTAATTTCTAGCCGCCTCACGTAGTTGTCCATGAATTCGTGTTGTTCATTAATCGTAACAGATCGACTCCTATTTCCGTAAATCATCAAACATTGTACCAAAGAACTAAATAATTTTTAAACTTCTTCGCAGCTGTCTCTGATTTATAAAAATGTACAGTATCACTTCAACCTCTCAAGAGATAAGACGTGCTGCATCAAAAAACAAAAACAAAACCCCGCTACGCAAACGCAAAGCTTATCAGCAAACGCGCGACTAACAAAAATCAATCGCAAAAGCAAACAGAAACAAAAACAAACCCACACCATAAACAGTTACACCGGGCAATAGCCCAAAAACAACAACCATGAACGAACCAGCCGATAGAAGCAAAACCTACAAAGCACAACTAAGCGAGCCAAAATACATTGTACTAAAACGGAACGACAACGAATCATTCGAAAAAGTATCACCGTTTATCATAAAAAAGAATATAGACTATGCATGCGGAGGAGAAGTAGAAACATGTAAAAAAACAAGAGACGGCTCCCTGCTTATTAAAACTAAAAACAAACTGCAAGCACAGAAACTAATTGGACAAAAAAATGAATAATCTCGATATCACTGCCACAGAACACAAGACTTTAAATACAACCAAAGGCGTAATATATTGCAACGAACTAC